GCTGAGCAGGAAGCCATCCTCTAGTGGCCCCTGGCTTTTGGCCTAGGTCACTGCTGGCATGTGGCTGCATTTCTGGAATCAAAGTGAATGTTCAGGCTTTTTGACTGTCTGTACTTAGCCCTAATGTTAAGTGTAGCGGTTGCTACTGTGTTTTCCAGTCTGACAGAGTATGAGAGACAACGCAGTTTGAAAAAACTATCAGAAAGTGACCATCTTTAAGATCCTCTTCAGAACTTATCAATTTAATGCTGGAAACCCTGCTGGAATTGTTGTTTGGTGATCTTACTCTTGTATTATTTGGAGAAGAAAGCCTATTATTTAAATGTGTCTCTGCATTGTAGCCGAAGCAGATGGTACGAAAGTGATGCAGAGAATTCGTGTGGAGTCTCCTAAAGTGGATGCTGTCTTTGTTGGAACAGGAGACCTGTTTGCTGCTATGCTCTTGGCCTGGACACACAAACATCCAAACAATCTTAAGGTATAATGTTTGGGGGGAGTTTCATCATCCCATGGCAAATGCTGCAATTAACTATTTCTTTCACTTTTTTTCCCCCCCACTGGTTCGACAAAATGGAGATTTGGCACTTTTTGAAAGTGTTTGAGCTGTTTCTGTGCCCGAGTTCCATCTTGGAAACTTAAAAATTCTGCTTATATAAAATAACTTTTATAAATATCTGCAGTTGGAAAGGAGATTTTTTCCTTCCGTACCCAAAGAACACTCTTTTGAATAGTATCTTTGAGTGGTGGATTACTATCCTTTGAATGGCAATTGACCTAGAATAGCTCTTCATATAGTCTGTGAAATGATTTTGGGTTGTTGCTCAATCTGAGATACTCTGTATAGATAACCTTTGGAATCCTTGGTTCACAAAAAGAGCCTAAAATCAGGTATTGGCTTAAAGATCTTATTTTATGGCTCTTTTGGATACTGCATTCTTGCTTTGGACATTTTGTTCCTGGTTTATTACTTTGGCTTATTCAAGAATTCCAAAGATTTTTGTGATGTATATTACATTCACTGCCAAACTCTAACTGTGCTTTTATAGAGTTGACAGCTCAGTTTTCTTTTACCTTTCAAATTATCCTCTAAACTTTACCTTTCAAAAGCACTGCTAATAACTTGAGTAATTGAAATATGAGTGAAACCTGAATGTATTTCCTGTGATCACAGGTGGCATGTGAAAAGACTGTATCAGCCATGCAACATGTTATACAAAGGACCATCACAAGTGCAAAAGGTAATCAGTTCAATCTGTGCTCCTGAATTTACTCTCTTCGCATCCTCTTTGAAACAAAAGTCTGAAATATTTTTGAGTTTCAGCACTGCAGCAGTCTCCTGCACTGTCTGTGCAGCAGAGTATTAGGGAACTCCAGTGCTGGGGCTAGAGTTAGCCCAGCTGCTGGTCTGTTTACCACTGTGTTCTTTATTCCTGCTTTGGGTGATATGGTGATAAAAATGTCACTAGCCATTTTGTGCTAGTGTGGCAACAGGTGTGGATTTGTATTACTGCTAGAGCAGTGATGTGAGAATTTGTAGCAAAGCTTAGTGCAGCAATATGAAGGAGCCTCATCTCTGGTGAATAATTTTCTTCTTCCTGTATATGTTAGGACTAGAATGGATTCCTCAACTGGTAATGAGCAGTGCATTTGTGTGTAGCTGAAGAGATTACTCTTCAACTAGCCTTACCCTTGAAAGTGGAGGAGAATGCAGCTTTGAGCATATGTTTGACTGTACTAGCACATCAGTTGGGCACTTCCCACCTAGGATATGTGCATGTGAGTTGCTGCTGAGCTCTTTCAGTTTCCATGAAGGTCCAAAGAAAAGTTGCAGGACCTCAGAACTTATCTGGATCAGTCTATAAGCAACGATAAAACATTGAGAATAATTCTAGGAGACTTGAGGAGGCTAGGGATTTTGAAGTGCCAGACAGCTCCTAGGATATTAGGGCAGATGGGGAGAAGAAGAAAAAATGATAGTGGGAAAGGAAAGAAGCCATGTTTTTTCTCTTTTTTTTTTTTTTTGTTACTGTTATTGACATTTCAATATCATATTTTTAGCACAGGCTGGAGAAGGAAACAAACCAAACTCAGCCCAGCTTGAATTGAGGATGGTCCAAAGCAAAAAGGACATAGAAAACCCGGCGATAATAATAAAAGCTACTGTGTTATAAAGGCTGTATGTCTCCTAATAACGCACAATGTATTGATGTCCTCTTTTTCTTTCCTGTAAATTGTAATGTTTGCCTTAGATCTGTGACAGAAACCTGACTTCCATGAAATAGCACCTAGCATAGGCAGATACCTATTATCGAACATATGTGCTGGCCTGGCTTGGTTTAAAAGCAAAACAGCAAGTATTGAAACTTACTGCAAGGTATCAAAATGGCTGTGAAATTCACTCAGTCTTTTATTACCCTGGGCAACTGAGTACAAGGGTTCCTGACTTGCCAAAGACATTGGGTGTGAATTTGCTAGTATAACTGACTGACTGGAGCCTATGCAGTAGTAATGCATCTTGTGCCATTTGAGTTGGCTGCCTGCTCCTTTTGCTGAATCCAGTTGGTAGCCTACTGTGGTGTTCAGCATTTCAATTACTCTAAAATCAGGTATGATTAAAACTGCCCAGAAGGTCCAGGATGGGTGTAGGGAGTTACTTGAGAGATGTTTTGCTTTCAGTACTCTGCAGAAGTCTTGAGGTGTCATTTCATGTTTCTGATAACTGCTCCTGTCTCGAGCCTATGAATGATTACACGGTTTCAATTCCTACAGGTGCTAATCGCTTTATTCTCAGCGACAAGCATCCACATGACTTTCTTCCCATGTCCCACTCCAAAAAGATGGACAATAATTAACTAATATCTATTTACTAGCACTGCATAGAAACTTATAACTCTACCTCTGAAAGCAGACTTCATTCCTTTTTTACTAAAGATTATTCAAGACAAAGCTTCCTTATGAAAGGAAAATAATGTGGCTACCTACTCTGAAAGCTAAGTAACCTATTAGCAATTTTTATCCATTGGAATACTATGCTACTGATTACCTTCATTATTTGCTGAGGACAGTTTAGTCTTCATGGATAGTTCTATTTATAAACACCAGAGGGCAGTTCTGCTTAATAAAAATGAGTAGTCTGTTTCATTCGTAAATGCACTATGTAGGGAAAGGCTGGGTTAGTTATAAGTTTGCTCATGGTGAATGATGTGTAGAAAAATTGTTGTTCATAGTGCCATTCTTTGCAATAGTCCATTTTCAGAACCATTTTTCTTGTGCTGCAGAACAAATAGTAACTTTATGTTCATTATTCAAATAAGTTGCTAGAGATTTTATCAAAGCAAAGATTTTATATATGCAGTTTATTCCATTTTATATTTATCATTTATATTGCTATATTCTTATATTCTTATCAAGTTTCTTTGAATCTCTCATGAGCAAGATGGACAACATTGCTTGTCTGCTTCATGCTTGTGTATAGCGGGATGTTGAAATATATCTAGATAGCTCTATTGTTCTCTCATAATCACTGGAGTACCTGAGCACCTCAATATAACGGTTCCCCTGACCTAGCTTTCTCTTTCCTTTTATGGAACAGCTGGGGAAATAATTCCTTTTTTTTTTTTTTATCAGACTGCTTTTCCCTGAAGCTTTTGTAGAATGGGGCCTCAGTCCTTTGCAGTTCCCTGCATATTCTCAGGCACATCTTGTATTTACTGTTTTTCTGCGAGAGGTCTTGACCACATACAGCTTCTGTTGACTCCAGTGAGCAGTCACAAGTTCTTGACATTTCTTGGCGTGTGGACTTGTCCTGGTAGCACAGAAATTGCACTTTCGTACAGTAGCAGAAATCAGATGCTCACCAAGAAGGGGGGGCAGCTTTGTTTTGCCCAGCAAAAACACGAGGTCATTGTCTCCTGTGTTCCTCCCCAGCATCCTTCTCCTGGCCAGGGTTGTCTAATTTATAATCAGTGTCAGTGATCTAGCTTGAGCCACTCTCCCTCACTCCTGCCAACAAACCCGGGTCTGGTTTTAAAGTCTGCAGTGGTGCAAGCTATCTTCACTGATTTCCTGTGTGGATTTCCTGTCATTGGTACTGTTATTTGGCCTCTAGTGGGGGCAAACAAAACTATTCTTACAGCTAATGTTAGGCTGAACTGATTTTTTTTCTTGTTAATAGAACAAAGGTTGTACAATTCATAGGCTTCTTAAATCCCTCATTTTCAGTCAGTAAATGCCATTTAAGTAAATGCATTTTGTAATAGATTTAGAGAACTCAGGTTTTGTCCTACCTAGCTAACAATTTCATAAACAAGTCTGATTTTGCTCTGCAATTACAAATTTGTCTTTCTAATTTAAGAAACAGAAAAAGAATCCAGAGATTACCTAGTAAACTTGACTGCTGCCACAATTTATGATAACCACTGCCATGAAATAACTGTAGCAATAATAATTCTGGTGTCAAATGAAGTGTCGCCATCTACACTGAAGGGGGGAGCTTGTGACAGCCCTCTAAATCTTGTAAAGGTGGCAAAGTAAACAGTACCTTTTTTCCTCTGTATTGTGTTTTTAAACTTTTAATTAGTTTTGTTTCTTGTTAATCACTTCTCATAAACATACAGAGAAACAGCTCTTTATTAATCAATTGTCCTTTTTAATATAGGTACAGTAAAAGCTCTGTTATCCGGCATCCCCTGGGAATGGGGGATGCCGGTTAGTCAAACATGCACCATCTGGTACACTCCCCAGCATCAGTGTGCCAGGGGACAGGAAGGGGGGCCCTGCATAGGCTGCTTTTGCCCCATGCAGGCTGCTTTGCCCTGGGCTGTGGGCTGAAGAAGTGGCAAAGAAAAAACTCGGCTTGCGGCGGTGAAACAGGAAGTCCCCCAGAAGTGGTACTTTGGTTTCGCTTTTGCCGCATTCCTTGGATGCCAGTTAATAGAGTTTTCCGGCTAATAAAGTGTCGGTTAACACAGCTTTTGCTGTATATCTTACTATGGAAGTTGCATGGGAAATCTCAACTTCTAGAGAACAACAGCTTTTGAACAAAAAGGATATTTCACTGCTGCATCTCTGGAGACTTTTGCATTGCTTCAGCTGTAAATTTAACCTTATTGCATCCAGAATCTTTATTTCTCCATGGCTTAAGGCAAATTTCGGGTTCTTCATTTCAAAGAAAACAGTGAAAGAAAACAAAGTTCATAATCCCTCCTCCCTTTTTGAAATCGTAGTAGTAATAACAATAGTCTATCCAAGTTTCTTGCTATCAAGAGACCATACCTGTGACAAACCTGTGATAATTGCTACCAAAAAAAGTCCTTTTTAGCATGAAGGGAAAAATATATTAGTTTGTGGATCTACAGAAATGAGGGCACTGATGGGAACATTTAATTTTGATTTGTTTGTTTTAAACCAACAGGCGTTGGACTGAATTATCATTTAATACAGATTTTTTTTTTTTTATCTGGAAAGCAGAGGTGAAAGCACATTTTACCATAAGATAGAATAGGGGCAAGCTGATAAGGAACTAAACACGTGCGTTAGCAGGTTGGAACATTGACCGAGGTCAGATGTTGGGAATGCAGCAGTGGCCTGTTCCTGATGCTTCAGAGGAAGGTGGAGCACTTCAGTCATTGACCTCTAGCTTAATAGCTATGACATTGTAAGAAATTAATATAAAATTCAGGAGAAAGCAGGAGAGGAAACATCTGCTTTAAAAGCTGAGCTGGCAGTTCAGATTTTCTACTGGCAAGATTTGGCAGCCACTGCCTGAAAGTAAATTGTGTTGAAGATGGTGGGATTTGCTTATATGTTGTTGGATTTAACTGTCCATTGAATTACCCCAAATAGGGTTAGACCTATATGGAAGATTTAGAATAATGCTTGGCCTCTATTAACAATGGAAGAATCATTAAGAAAACTCCTGTAAATGCATATGGTATTTACCTTTTTGTAATTGAAACACACAGACATAGATATTTAAAAAATTGAAGCTATGCATAAAATGTAGGTGCATTTTTACTTGTTAAATGTTACACTGCACTTTTTTTCCTAGTGTGCATGTGTGCGTGTGTGTATAGGGCAGTGGCTTTTTTGTTTTGTTTTTTTTCATTAGAACAAAATTTAGAGCAAAATACATCAACTCAGCACAATCGTATCTAATCAACCTTATTTTCCACTTTTCCTTTTGTGGATGTGACATCCACAAAGATGTCAGATATCCAGCTTGTAGCCGTATTGGTCTAAAGGAACAAGCAGTCAGGACTCGTAGGAGAGATGATATCTTTTATTAGACCAACAAGATTTTTTGAAAAATATTTCTTTAAAGAAATCGAATTTTTTTGCAAAAATCTTGTTGGTCTAATAAAAGATATCATCTCTACTATGAGTAATGATTCACAAAGATAGCATTCATAATAAAATTATTTGTGGAACAACCAGGAAATGTTTGTTTTCCTTGTCCTTCAGGACAGCTAACCATTATTTATTACAAGGAAGTGACAGTATCCCAGGAGTTGTGAGCCTTATCCATAGGCACCGACTCCTGTGGGTGATCTGGGGTTCAAGCACCCATGGAAGAAATTTAGTGGGTGCTTAGCACCCATGAGCCATGTTGTGCGAGCTGGGTTGAAGTAATATGCTTCCTCTTCTGTGCATGCGTGGGGCTTGGTTCAGGAATGAAAAAACCCCCTACCTGCCAGCAAAAACCAAAGTCGGTGCCTATGGTCTTATCTCCTCTTAAATCCTTACTCAAAAAAGCAACTAAATGATAACTAAGGTAAGCTAAAAGGGCGTCTATTAACTGCAGAGGGCAAGCACCTTGGCAGAGACCCCTAGATTCAGTAAATTCTGTTCAGTAATTTTTATGACTAGTAAGAAAATGGAAGGTTCCTGTTGTTCGCTACAGCTAACCAGTTTGTGTTTCAGTCCTTTTCTGGTAATGAAATTTTCAATCCATGTGTACAGCCATTTTGATTAGTGCAACTTCACTTATTTGTGGAGCCATTTTGGTAGACAAAAACTTACCTTAAAATGAATTATTTTCTCTATTCTGGCCTGAGTGTACCTTTCACGTGTTCTAAACTTTGTCTTCCTTGAAAGTTACATGGATAAACTCATCATGATAATGTCAAAGAAATGTGGTTTGTGGAAATTTTATTTTCGCTTGGTATAAGCACACTTTTAAAAAAGTTTGTAGTAAAATTGCTAACTAAAATGTTTGTTTGGTGATTGACACTTTCAAATGTAATGAATCTGTAATCGACATCCTATACCAGGGGTGGGCAAAATGTGGCCCACCAGGCCATTCTATCCGGCCTGCAGGGCCCCTAAAAAATTTAGAAAATTAATACTTATCTGCCCCTGGCTGCCTGTCATGTGACCATCGATGACTTGCCAAAACTCAGTAAGCAGCCCTCCGCCCAAAATAATTGCCCACCCCTGTCCTATATAAAAGATTTGGAGGACCAAGGTTTCTAGCTAAAAATACTGCCTTGTTTAGATGTATCTTATACGTATTTTGATTGGAAAGTGATGATTTGTTGGGTGATATTGTTATGGTGATTGTATTACTTTATTTTATAATATGTGGCAAGAAAGATTGTAATAAATGTCTACATTTAATATATTGTGCATAACATCCAAAAAAGGATCTAAATGTTGGACCGTTTCAGAATTAAAGAGAACAAGAACAGTTGATAGTCTTCCTGGGTAAAGTGCTTTCAATTGAAGACTTTTTTTTTTTTTTAAATTGGGTAAAAAAGAATTAATGGGTACTTAGGGAAAGAGCCTATTTTTAGAGACCAGTGTTACCCCAGTGTAAAATCACAGGATTGGGCAACCTTAATAGGTTTGCCTTCTGAGCATTTCTTTGAATGAGTTTCATAACAGCAGAGACTTACTTGGAGAGTTAAGGTGTTACATCCATGAAAGGAAAGGAGATACAGGAACTCCAAATTGCTAGACTGAGTTGTACAGGATCCTGTTGTTGCTGCTATTTAGATTTTAGTTCCTGAGTTGTCAAACACCTTTATTCATTTATTGAAAAATGACTCCGGCATTCTGCATCTCCATTCCCATGTGCACTTTACTTTCACGCTTATTGGTAGGTCAGATTGTGTATTGTCCTATATGATGCACAAGAGATTAGGGGCTCTGGAGTAGGAACTGCCCCTGTTCATTCCATGCTCTGTTCGAGACAAGCACTTGGCTGTGCTGTCCCCTAACAAAGCACATTGTTAAGTTACAGTATGGCTTTAGATGAAGACCACATAAGCAAGAGCATAGGATGAGAAACTGTTACTCAAGTGCAGTGCCAGATTACACACTTGTGCATTATCCATTAGAAAACATAAGAATTGCCATTTACTGGGTCAGACCATATATCCATCTTGCCCAGTATCCTGCGTCTCACAGTGGTAGTGGATGCTGAAAGGGATAGTGAACAGGTATGACCAAGGTTTTTTCCACTGTTCCTCTCACTTGCAGCCTCCAGCATTTAAGGTCTAGGAAGTTCTAATTTAGAGGCTATATCCCTAATTCCTGTATTGCATATTGCATATTTAGGTCAATTCTGTGGGTGGGAAGAGGCAGGCCATTCAATTGAGCAGAGCCCTGGTGATTTCTCTTTTAAAGGTGCTTGTTCAGTTGCTCAAGTCCATCAGAGAAGTTGATTTGTCTATTCATATGTATACCAGGTGTCCCTCAATTAAATGACACAATGGCTCACCTTCACCCATTTCAATAGTTGGGTTACAAGCCAGTACATACATGATATAAATTTTTGGCTTCTTTGAAGCCAAGATATTTTTTAATTAACTAGGAGAGAGAAAGAAAACAACTGGTTCTTTTGCATTCAATTGCATCCTTTCACTGATCACTCCTAGAACACTACTCACCTCCTGTTAAGAGGAACAGATTATTTGTAAAATAATTGGAAAGGAAGATTTTTAAAATAAAGTCTTTGAAAATGTTCTTTTGGTATTTACTGTTGGTAATTGAGACTATTGAAAGATAATTTTCTATTCTGCTAGCATTCTGAAATGCAATAACTGCCATGCATGTCAGTACTGGGAGTGAAGCTTTGAAATCATACATCGTGCTGCCAGTACCCTTAAATAATGGGTAAAATGATGGTTTATGTACATTTTACATTAGCAGATTTTAAGATAAATAAGATGCATCTGTTTCTTTTCAGAAACATGAAAAGTGTGTCCTTAATTCACTAAAGAATGGCCTTGAACGCTGATCAGAGAGATCTGATGTTTCTGATGTATTTTTGGTCAGAAACAGTCTGAACTACCTGCTCATTGTTTAAATAAGAGTCAAAAGGCAATTTTCTAGAGGGAAGAACATACCAAAAGTGCAGCCTTTTATAGCGGCCTCAGAGCTTCCATACAGGTAACCAGGAATTGAATGATGACACTGAAGGAAACGTTCTGTAAATTGGCACTTGTTGCTTCAGCTACTGGGCTCGTTATAGCTTTAATTTTGGAAAATGCTTAAGCATATGCTTTAATTTTAATGGGCCTTTTAAACAAATGGGACTTATGCATGTGTCTGAGTGCTTTCCCAAACAAGTTTAATTGATGCATTCTTGAACTGGTGCCCCAGTGAGTAGTTGCAGGTCTTGATGCAGAAAACTGAATTTATGGGATAGAGAATAAAGCAGCACATTGGTGAGACTGTCAGCAGTGTGATGGGGGCTGTGCCATATGTTACCACAGAAATCCCATGTATTACTTACCTATTGCCTTTGTTGTTGCATTGCTATTTAGAAAAACCGTGTCTAGAAGATCATAGCATATGTGGTTTGTGTGTGTGTGTGTGTGTGTGTGTGTGTATATATGTATACATCTGTGTGTGTGTGTGTGCTGAAATTTTAGTTGCAGTGGGAAGAATTTGGGGGCTGGCTGTGCATGCCTTCAGAATGCAAGTAGAAAGTCTGAATGAATTCTATTTTTATAGATAGCACTGTGGTTTCAGGTCCCAGTTGCACCATATCTGCCTCTTCCAGGAATGTGAAACGGCAAGGGAAGAGAGTAGAAGGGTGGCGACCATGTGGTAGGGAGAGTACAACCCCACCACCAGCCCTGGACAGAGGAACATAAATAAAGATGCCTTTTAAAGTAATATTTTTTTAGTTCTAAATTGTTAAACAAAAATATTTAAAACAAACTTTTTGTGTACTTGACGTTTGTGGTGCTGGTGCTTTGTATTGAATAGATGGACCTGTTCTGTATTTACCTCTCTTAATGAGTGTCATTGAGGCATATATAAAAAGTAAACAACAAAAAAAGAGTGCTGTGTAATGACAGTGATTTTTAATTTCTAGTGAAAATGTAGGCTCTTGTGTTTGTGTACTTTCTGGTTGGCTCATGAATTTAATCTTTTCTGCAATAAGGCTTAGATGCTTAATTGTAGAAGGAAGTAGTAGTATAGCAGATGACTCTTTAGGGGGGAAAAACTCTTAAATATTGTTGCCCTGTCCACTACTAAATTGTGCATCTTTATTTTTAAAATCAATTATCAAATAGGCTCCAAATTTAGGTTTCAAGCTGCATTCACATAATGAAGTAAAGGTTGGGCTAAGTTAAAATTGTTTTTTCTTTAAATAATTTCCCTGGAGGTAGGAAACTAAGAGTAAGCTATGTATGAAGAGATGAGGCAAGAGAATCAAGGTGAACGTGAATGGATGATGCACAGGATTTAAAAGAGACTTGTAGTTTAGCTGCCTCTCAAATGAAGTACAAAAAGGAGAGATGAAGAAAATATATTTTCTTAAGTCGGTAAATAGTAGTAAGCTGAGAAGCTTGTACAGTGATAAGAATTTATCCTTAATATGTGGTCTGACTTTCAACAGATCCATTATCAACTCAGATTTCTCTGGCTGGGAGAACAGGACAAAAACAAATTGCTTCCAGTGTCATGAATCTGTTATGGGTTTTCATGCATCTTTGTCTGTTTACATTTTTTTATAGGGCCTTTCCTGTAGGTGCCAGTGTCAAGGTTAGATTCTAGGGCCCCGTTTTGGATGTTGCGTATGCCTGGGATATGAATGTACTTAGCGAGGACTGGAGATTTTGACCATAATAAGTAGTAGTATTTTTTGAGAGGGGGTAGAGGAGCAGTCTAGTCTCCTAATAATACTTACAAGTGACTGTTTGCCAAAACTTAAGTAAGAACTTAGCCTTTTTTTTCTCTCTTGGGAGTTTTCACTTACTTGTAGATGGAAAGAAATTGCTGCTGCTGCTTTGCAGAGATAGCAAAGAACTAAAAAAAATTAACACATTAGTTGGAGTACTTTTTTGCAATACTATGCACATACCTGACTCTAATCGGAATCGGTAGGTACCATGTATATGTGAGAAGTCTTAAGCTCTTGAGGGACAACTATCAATATCCAATTACTTCTCTATCTGCACTGCTCAGGAAGACAATTCTTCTGAGCTGGCAGATTAGGTATGTAGCTTTGCTTTTTCTTTCAGTGAAAAAATCTTAGGAAAGGGAGGGTCCAATATGGGTTTGTTTTTCAATAGAGTGCCTAGGCTGTGCCTGAACAAAGTGGGGGAAGAGGTGGGTGTGTGGGTGGTTGTGTGTCAGATTATGTGCCCAATTTTCTCTTGAATTAGAGTCCCACTAGGTTATCCACTATCTTTTTTTTTGGTGCTGGATTTACTGATGAAATTCTGCCACTGGATTAAAAAGGAGGGATTTCCAGGGAGGTTAAATGGTGCCTATATACATCATTTATAGGTACCTCTTTGTATTTTTGGACAACTAAATATGAGGATAGAATTTTGCCCACCTTTTGGAAGATTTGGGCCTCAATCCTGCAAATAAGTCCTTAAACTTTTAACACACATACTGCTAGGTCCTTTTGCTGTCAGTTGGGCTACTCCTGCATTAAAGTTTAAGAAAACATGGTAGCGCTTGCTGGGATTTGGACCTGAACATGTAATAAAATAATAGTTCTTATTTGGTACAATAGTATGTACTAAGCTAGTAGGACATTTTATCTAGAATTCTTTTAGAATCACCTACTCTTCTAAAAGTAAGAGCCAGCTCCTTTTGAAAATACAGATATTGTACTACTGGCCAGTATCATCTTCTTTTAATGGTTAAAAAGAAAATCTCAAACTAGGTGGAACCAATACTAAAATCACAATAATTTTAGTTTGGTTATTCCAGCCTAGTACATTTCCCATAACAGGAAATTGTTACATAGTTAGAAAATTTAGAAGTAGTTGTCTTCCTAATCAGGAGACCACTAGAAATAGAGAGCAGAAGGGTTGTCTTTTGCTAACATCACCTGGGCAGGGCCAGGTGGGAAGGTTATTTCAATTTCTGTTTTGACAATACTTGCACCTTACCAATGTTAGCAGATCCAGTATTTGTTTTACATTTCCCCACACCCAAGCAATCAGTGATAGTTTTATGGAACAAATACCTCTAGTTCATCCTACAAGGCTGCCACATTGTTTGGACTCATGGGCTTTTGCACAAGAAAGACCTAAGGTGCCCAGTAAAGCTCAAACTTCGGTGCAGGAAGCACTAAATTAGAATTGTGCTGTATTCTTCAGCCTGTGGATTTTCCTTTTAAGTTTTAAATTTTAATTGGTGCATATATATATATAATGGCACTTATATATATTGTTTACATTTTTTTTCTCAAATCTTCCTGAACCAAAGGTGTATTAGCATAAATGCGGGCATCCAAAAAATTCATTTTGAAGCAACGAATTACAAATTGTCAGCCTAACAACACTTTGTCTGCAGAAACTGTTAATAATCAATTTTATAAGACCACTTATAGTATATACATGACATGGTACATCTAGCAAAGCACTCTGTCTTACATGGTTAAAACAGAGTATGTGCTTAAGTGCTTTGCAAGATTGGAAACCATATCCAAACATTTTTCAGTTGAATCTAGCAAAGTTAGTTTTTATGTAAAAATAAATTAAATAAATAAATAAATAAAAATTAATATTAGTTGGTTGAACAATATTTTCCCCTCTCAACACTGGAAAACTGCAGCATAGCTTATCATTATAGGAGTTGGGTAATATGAGAGAGAAATGTGTACATTCTGGATGATTTATTCTAATGCAATTCATGAATTTACTATTTGTTGTTTGTGTAATTTTGAATATAGTCTTTTGATGTCACTAATTGGGAAATGAACCATTGTTTCATAAATGCAATTTTAATGTGCTTTTTAACTTAATAACTGGGAAAATAAGAATATGATTTTTTTAGGTTATTGATCAATTATTCAGTTATTTCAGAATTAAATAAGGAAAGGATGACAAAAATTTGGCCTTACTTAAAATAAACTTTAAATATTAACCCAAGTGGGTTGGGAGCCTTTCTTAACTAAGTAGTAGCAGCAACTGGAAGAGGCCAATATTTAGGGGTTTTGTATGAAGCACATCTTAATCCTGCTGTACTGCTCAGTAAAAGTGAACAGTGCAGATGCCAGCAGAGTTTATCATCATAACGAGTAATGCTGTAATACAGAGTGTTTTTTTTTTGGTGAAAATCTTAATCTCTTCTTATGAAGATTAAACAAATATTTTCATGGTGTGTAAGTGAAATGTAATTCTTTTTTTTCCAATAAAATATGTCTTTTCCTAAATATTTTCCTTTGTAGCTTTTTTCCTTTTTTCACAAAGAACTGTTTAATTATTGAATACTTTTTGTGTAGAAAGCTCAGTAAGAAATGCAGTTAGAGTCAGGGGCCTAACCTTCACCTTACATACATTCTTAACTAATTTTTTCCTTGCAAGAAAGATCAAGTGCTTCAAGCTTGTACAAAGTTTATCAAAGCAGTGAGAGATTACTAATTACCACCTATGGGAGCAAAAGACCTGAAAAGAAGCATGAAGTCCTGGTATCATAGACTTGCTGGCTGGAATTCAACACAATATTTTGGTTGATATTAACTGGCTAATGCTAAATCCTTATGGT